CTTCCAGAATATGCTACACCTCTGAGACATAAAAGGAACTCGGATTTCCAAGCCCAAGGAAGAGAGGGTGGGAGGAAGATGCAATTGAAGTATAAAGATTAATGTCGTGAGGATGGACCAGCTATCCTCAGTCCATGTCGGGAAGCAAATAGTCACTTAAGTTACACCTAAGGAAACATTTCTTGTGCTCTAGGGCTTTAGACCCTGAAATGGGTCAACAGTGATATTATGGGAATCATCCTCTTGCTTTTTAAAATTCAGATGAATTCTCCACTGTCTTTGAGACTTTGAAATTCATTTCACCAGATGCATGAGGGAGTGAACTGGAGAATTCTAGAGGTCTCTTTGTGTCTTTCATGCTGTTTGCTGTGTGTTTGTGCAGGTCTACCATAGATACAGCACAATCCTGGGCTCTCTGGGAATATTAAAAAAGAATACACAACTGCATTCAGAATGCTTACAATCTCCTTAGAAAAGCAGTTTCTCTGGCCTCTCTGTATACAATTCCAAGGAACTTTCTCAGAGCAGCTGGGAAGAGCTGTTCTGAGTTCTCCACATGCATTGCCAGGACAGGATGGACGACGTTCTCTCTCTGCCCTCTGCATAGTCCTTCTTTCCTCTGATAACCTGGAAGATCTCCTAACTTACCGAGCACCCTCTAGCTTTGGTGTACATAAAGACTTTCAGGGGTACAGCTTCGATAGTCTTAAGAGAATCAACTTCTAGATTTTCATTCTCCATGTACGCTCTTTCCTAAAGTGGTTGGACTGAGGGGATGCTAAAGTTTGCTGCAGTAGCCTTTCTCCCACGTTAGAAAAGAAAGGCATACTCCTCCTACGTCTTACCATGGTTCATTGTCCTGTGGTGGGAAAACTCCAGGCCAGCCAAGAAAAGGGAAGCTTCCTAGGATGAGTAATAAAAGGTCCTGTCAACTCGCAGGGCTTTGGGATTTCCCTGGTTTCTACATTTGCTTGTTTGCTTGTTATAGGAAAGCCCATTGTTCACACTGAGTATTTGGTCGGTGTTGGCATATCTGAATTCAGTTAGATGGTACAGTGAGGAAATGGGAATAAATATGGCTTTTCATTAAAAATAATTCACCTTATCCTCTTTTTCACCTCTGTCAAAGAAATAGAGAGAATGACAGGGAAGGGGGTGGGGAGAAAGAGAAAAATCGCTGTGCTTGAGGTTAGTCCAATGAGAGCAAATCAAGGAGAACGTCTGTAAAAGTTATTTAATGTTAAAAATAATTTTCCTCACATTTTAAATATAAGAAATTCTTTGCAGTTATTTTTAGATTTTTTACAGAGAGGAAGGGAGAGAGAGATAGAGAGTTAGAAATATCGATGAGAGAGAAACATCGACCAGCTGCCTCCTGCACATCTCCTACTGGGGATGTGCCCGTAGCCCAGGTACATGCCCCTCACCGGAATCGAACCTGGGACCTTTCAGTACGCAGGCCGACGCTCCATCCACTGAGCCAAACCGGTTTCGGCGATTTTCCTCACATTTTAAAATAAGAAATTCTTTGCAGTTATTTTTAAAGCTCACCAATAGAAGGTGTCATTAGTTAAGAAGAAACGTATATTCAAATAGCTAAAGCCATATAGCTATAGGAGTTTTACAGTTTTGATCATGCTGGTAATTTTAACTGTAACTGAAATGCTTTAAACAATTTCTAAACTTTTCAAGATACAATAGGTAAAGGCCTGAGATTAAAGTTTCATGTAGTTTCTTTCAGGTTTGGTATGTTGTTTAATAAAATAGTTTATAATGTATTTTTATCAATTTTATTATTATTAAGGGCAGCATTAACCTAATACCAAAACCAAAAAAAAAAAAGACATTACAAGAAAACTACAAACCAATATCTCTCACCAACATAGATGCAAAACTCCTCAACAAAATATTAGCAAATCAAATGCAGTGATGTACAAAAAGAATTATACTGTCAGGTATGCAAGGCTGGTCCAACATACGAAAATCAAGTCATGTAATCATCAACAGAGTAAAAAAGAAAAATCACAAGGTCATATCAATAGATACATAATACACATTTGACAAAAGTCAACATCCAATCATGATAAAAACTCTCAGTAAACTAGGAATAGAGAACTTCTTCAACTTGATAAACAATATCTACAAAAAATCCTACAGGTAACATCATACTTAATGGTGAGAAACTTGAAGCTTTCCCACTAAGATCAGGTACAAAGGAAGGCTGTCCCCTCTCATCACTCCTTTTCAACATCATAGTAGAAGTCCTCGCTAGTTCAACAAGGCAAGAAAATGAAATAAAAAGTGTCCAGATTGGGAAGGAAGAAATAAAATGTCTCTAAAAATCCATAAGAATTAACAAAAAACACCAACAAAACAAACAAAAATCTCCTCACAAATAAGCAATTATAGCAAGGTTGATCACTTTCCTATATGACATCAATGAACAAGTGGAATTTGAAATTAAAACACAAACACCACTTATATTAGCAACCCCAAAAATGAAATATTTGTATAAATCTAACAAAACAGTTCCCTGACTTTGAAGCTCCTTACCCACATCAAGAGATGAGTCTATTTCCTTAAACCCTAAGTCTGGGCTGGCGTTATAATTCACTTTGGCCAATGGTATGTGATAGAAGTGACAATGAGTTAGTCTTGAAACTGTGCACAAGAGATTTTGCTTGGTCACACCCACTCTTGTGGGACCTGCCCATGAAGAAGCCCTGGCTAGCCCACTGGAGAGTGAGAAACTTCGTGCAGCAGACACAATGCATCCTAGCTAACCAGATGGCTGGCTACAGACATGTGAGCCAGCACAGCCAAATCAGCTGAGCCCTTCTAGAATTAAAGAACCACTCAGCCAACCACAGATTCAATCCAGAATGGAAAAAAAACAAAAACCTTTTTTAGACATTTAACAACTTGTCACAGGAAATAAAACAAAAATAACATTTCAATTTATACACACAGATTTAATAGAGATAATTATGAGACCAATAAAAACTTTCAAGCATCTATCCAGAGGTCCTCAAACTTTTTAAACAGGGGGCCAGTTCACTGTCCCTCAGACATTCCACACATGCGCATTGTGGGCCCGGGACGAGTCGGCTGCTAAGCAGGACAGGCAGCGGCGGCAAAAACACCCGGCGGGCCGGATAAATGTTTTCGGCGGGCCTCATGTGGCCTGCGGGCCGTACTTTGAGGACCCCTGATCTATACTAATAAAAGCCTAGGTGGTCCTCGTGCCCTCACACAACACCCTCATGTCATCACAAGATGGCCGCCACAAGATGGCCAGCAGGGGAGGGCAGTTGGGGCGAATAGGCCTGCAGGGGAGGGCAGTTGGGAACGACCAGCATGGCAGGGGAGGGCAGTTGGGGGCGATCAGGCTGGCAGGCAGAAGCGGTTAGGGGCAATCAGGCAGGCAGGCAGGTGAGCGGTTAGGAGCCAGCAGTCCCGGATTGTGAGGGGGATGTTCCAGATTGGAGAGGGTGCAGGCTGGGCTGAGGGACACCCTCTGCCCCATGCACGAATTTTGTGCACCAGGCCTCTAGTAAATATATATTACATTAGGCTCTGGCCAATGTGGCTCAGTTGGTTGAGCATTGTACTCTGCACCAAAATATTGCTGGTTTGATTCCCAGTCAGGAAGCAGGAGGCAACTAATCGATATTTCTCTCTCACATTTATGTTTCTCAGGAGGCAACTAATCGATATTTCTCCCTTCCTCTCTCTCTAAAAATATCAATAAAAATATAAAAATATAAGACAAAATTCTATGGAGAAATGGAATAGAAATAGGAATTCAAGGAAAAAAAAGGAAGATGGAAAATTTCTGAATGCTAAGAACTTTTTGTGTATTTTCAAATGACAAGTATCAAATCATTAGAGCATTTAAATTTCATTGGGCCCATTTTTTAGTCATATTTTTAAATATCAAAATTTTACAATATCCCAAAAGTTACATACTTAACAACTATTTAAATTTATGAAAAAAAATTTAGATGTTGAATTATAAATGTTGCGGGGGGGGGGGGCGGTCAAATTCTTATAGGAGACATGCAAGCTAAAATTCTTGAAAACTGCTATTCTAGAAAACCCACTCATGTAGTCCTTATTTAATAGGTAAAATATGATGTATCTATGGTGTATTTCATGTAGGTCTCTGTGTGTATGTGTAAATATCCTATCTAATAAAGAGGGAATATGCTAATTGACCCTCACACCGTCACAAAGATGGCAGCACCCACAGCCAATAAGGAGGGAATATGCTAATTGACTGCCCTGCCCTCAAAAGATGGCGGCGCCCACAGCCACAAGATGACCAGCAGGGGAGGGCAGTTGTGGGAAATCAGGACAGCAAGGGAGGGCAGTTAGGGGCGACCAAGCCAGCAGGGGAGGGCAGTTGGGGGGGACCAGGCCAGCAGGGGAGGGCAGTTAGGGGTGACCAGTCTGGCAGGGGAGGGCAGTTAGGGGTGACCGGGCTGGCAGGGGAGGGCAGTTGGGGGCAACCAGGCCTACAGGGGAGGGCAGTTGGGGGTGACGGGGCCGGCAGGAGAGCAGTTAGGTGTCGATCAGACTGGCAGGGGAGTGGTTAGGGGATAATTAGGCTGGCAGGCAGAAGCAGTTAGGGGCTATCAGGCAGGCAGGTAGGTGAGCGGTTGGGAGCCAGCAGTCCCAAATTATGAGAGGGATGTCCCACTGCTGGTTTAAACCGGCAGTGGGACATCCCCCAAGGGGTCCCAGATTGGAGTGGGTGCAGGCTGGGTTGAGGGACACCTCTGCCCCCAGTGCACGAATTTCATGCACCAGGCCTCTAGTAAGCTTAAATACTAGTACATTCTTATGTATGGATGCATGTAGATTTACATTGGTGTGTAATTTTATTCAGAGCTATGTATTTTAATTTAAATGTATAATTTCTCTTTGGCTAGCCAGGCATACCTTTTTGTTTTCTTGAAGAGAGAAGGAATGATGCCTGGTCCAGGAAACTGAGGAAAGGGGAGAGCCTAGGACCCCAGCTGAGAAACAAAGCAGGTTACAGAAAGGAAGGGCATGTTTCCTTCAAAAGATGCTGGCTGGATGCCTATGAGAGAGATCTCAGTTAGTCGTAGCATCAGGCAACCCATGGTAGTTGTATATGGTGGTGAGCAAGACTGACAGAATCCCATACTCTTAAGGAATTTATATTCCAGTAGGTGTTCAGAAATCAGAAACAGAGACACACAAACAGTTCTGGAAGCCTGGCCAGAGGGACCCTGGATTAAAGTTAGGGAGGACTTTGTTCTCGGATGTTACTGTTACCTATTTAATGCCTCTGAACCCTGTACATGCTGTTCTTCCTGCTGAAAAATGTTCTTTTTATATTATTACATTTCATTTATTGGAATAGATAATATGTTTACATGGATTTTAAATCAAAATGATAATGATTGGGAAGGCCTGCTCCCACCCTGACCGGTCTTCTCCTTTCCCACTCCCAACCCCACACCCTACTGAAGGTGATCATTTTTATAGTTTCTGTTTATCTTTCCTGCAAATACAAGTAAATATGGATATATACACTATCTTCCTGACCCCTCTTTTACACATAACACAGCCAACTATATATGCTCACTGCTCCTTGCTTAGTTTGTTTGTTTGTTTGTTTGTTTGTTTAACAATACTTTCTGGAATGCTTATCCTATCAGTGAGCAAACTTCATCCCCTTTCTCTCTCCAGCTGTATAGCATTCCACCACCACATGTCCCTGAATTACCCAGCCCTCTATAGATAGACACGTGGGTTCTAAACCTCTGCTCCACAAGTGATGCTGCCATGAATAACTATATGTATATCTTTGCATACATATGCAGACGCCTCTGGGGGTTAAATTCCCAGAAGTGCTGCCCCGCCTTTTCTTCCTGGAAAACTTACTCACCTTCTGACACCCACGGCCTGTAGAGCCAGACATACTAGTAAGAAGAGGCATGGAAGAGCCACAGGAAGATGTCTGCCTTCTCTATGGAGCTGGGAGCATCTGGAGGGTGTGCATCTCTCCTTGGCATTTGACCCTGTATTCTCATGAATAAATAAATGCAATAATCAATGGTATTCAAACTTAGGTTTCTTAAGAAACTCAGGCAGACAACCCCTCACAGAGAAGTGTGCTCTTTCTCCGGGTACCAATTACTGCTTACGATGAACCCTACCTTTGTACACTATCTAAAAATTAATAACCAGAACAATGAAGGGATTCATAACACACAGCAAATCCCAACGTCCCACTTTGTATATGCACCTCATTCTTCAAAGCAGATTAAGAAAAGTCTTGAGTAGGGGCGCATAAACTACATTTTGACTGTTCTGATGCTGATTTCATTTCTCTTTAGGGCATTAATGGAAGTCATCAAATGAGCAAGTAAATAAGGGAGAACACAATTAGTGCAACTTGATAGCTGCCTCAGTGTATGGAGAGGCAAAGTACAAGCAAATAAACATGTGGAGTAAGCACTGTTCCATGTTCTTACGTGTATTCTCTCCTTTAATCCTCTCCAAAAACAAATGAAAGTTGCCCAGTTGTTACTATTTATTTTTTTAAAGGTCTTGCACACTTATTACTGAACAATCCTACTATTGCAGAAAAAAATCAACAGAGCAAGATCATGACTCCAATAATTTTCTAATTAAAGTGCCCCAACTGTCCAGACAGTTGATTTTTTCAATCATTTAAAGGTGCAGGGAGAGAGAAACCAAGATGACGGAATAGGTAAACACTAGAGATTGCTGCCTCGCACAACCACTTCAAAAATACAACTAAAAGATGGAACGGACATCATCCAGAACCACAGAAAGACTGGCTGAGTGGAAATTCTAGAACTAGAAAGAAAGAGAAAAGCATACCGAAACTCAGAGGAGGTACAGTGTGGAAGTAAAATACAAAGGTGCGGAGGTGCAAGTGGAGAGGGCTGGAGGCTGAGGACACGATTGTCTTTTTCAATAGGGAAGGAGTCTCAGTCTCTGAGCTCCAGTTCCGGGCGAGTCTCTGGGGACCCAGACTCATACGGGAGAAACTGGACTGTCTGGCATCGGTCGGAACTCAAGGGCAGCTTTCTCTTGGAGGCACTCCCAGCAATTGCCTGGGCCTCTGAGGGCGGAACTGAGAGCAGCCATACTGCTCACTCCACCCACCCTGTTGATCCCCTGGGACCTCGCCCCACCCAAGCTGTGCATGGAGGCTTTTGCATATGAAAGGCCCAGCCCTTTGTAATCTGAAAATTAGTTAACAAACTGCAGCTGCCCCAAGGCCCCAGGGCAACTTGCATTGCTTTTCAGCTGGCTTCTGCTGGGTAGCCTCAGGCAGAGGCTAGATTAGCACTTTCTTAGATCCAAGAGCCAGTGTACCTGGTGGTCAGAGTCGGACCATCCAATTACAACTCCTCAGATCCATAAGGGACACACTCAGGGGGCAGACTCAGTGAGCACCAAAGCCCCACTGAAGCAAGTCTTGCCCCAGAAGGGTGTCTTCAGCACAGAAGTTCTCTCACCATAGACACAGCTGATTCTCACAGCCAATTGGCCTGGAGGTCAAATCCTCCCAGTGTTACCTACAACAATCAAGGCTTAACTACAACAAGACTGTGCACAAAGTCCACAAGGGGGTGCACCAAGAGTGTCCACCTCAGGTAATTGGGGAGGCTGAGCCACTGAGCCCTAGAGGACACTTAACACAGAAAGCCACTCTATCGACACAGCGAAGCATAAAAAAATGCCGAGACAAAGAAACAGGACACAAATGACAGAAATGGAGGAAAGCAAATGACTGGATATAGAGTTCAAAACCACACTTTTAAGGTTTTTCAAGAATTTTCTAGAAACTGCCGATAAACTTAATGAGACTCTCAAGAAATCTAGTGAGACTCTTGATGTTGTGATAAAAGACCAACTAGAAATTAAGCATACACTGACTGAAATAAAGAATATTATACAGACTCCCAACAGCAGACCAGAGGATCGCAAGAATCAAGTCAAAGTTGAAATACGAAGAAGCAAAAAACACCCAACCGGAAAAGCAAAATGAAAAAAGAATCCAAAAATACGAAGATAGTGTAAGGAGCCTCTGGGACAGCTTCAAGTGTACCAACATCCGAATTATAGGGGTGCCCGAAGAAGAGAGAGAGCAAGATATTGAAAACCTATTTGAAGAAATAATGACAGAAAACTTCTCCTACCTGCTGAAAGAAATAGACTTCCAAGTCCAGGAAGCACAGAGAACCCCAAACAAAAGGAATCCAAAGAGGATCACACCAAGACACATCATAATTAAAATGCCAAGAGCAAAAGACAAAGAGAGAATCTTAAAAGCAGCAAGAGAAAGACAGTCAGTTACCTACAAGGGAGTACCCATACGACTGTCAGCTGATTTCTCAACAGAAACTTTGCAAGCCAGAAGGGAGTGGCAAGAAATATTCAAAGTGATGAATACCAAGAACGTACAACCAAGATTACTTTATCCAGCAAAGCTATCATTCAGAATAGAAGGTCAGATAAAGAGCTTCACAGATAAGGAAAAGCTAAAGGAGTTCATCACCATCAAACCAGTATTATGTGAAATTCTGAAAGGTATCCTTTAAGAAGAGGAAGAAGAAGAAAAAGGTAAAGATACAAATTATGAACAACAAATACACATCTATTGACAAGTGAATCTAAAAATCAAGTGAATAAATAATCTGATGAACAGAATGAACTGGTGATTATAATAGAATCAGGGACATAGAAAGGGATGGACTGACTATTCTTGGGGGGGAAAGGGGTGTGGGAGATGCGGGAAGAGACAGGACAAAAATCGTGCACCTATGGATGAGGACAGTGGGTGGGGAGTGAGGGCGGAGGGTGGGGTGGGAACTGGGTGGAGGGCAGTTATGGGGGAAAAAAGAGGAACAAATGTAATAATCTGAACAATAAAGATTTAATGTAAAAAAAAAATAGAGGGGGTCAGGACTGAATGTTCAGAGCATCTCCAGGAAGGCCTGCACGCATGGTGCCTCCACATTCTGGAAGGTGTTCTGGACTCTGCCAAACAGGATGAAGTATTTCATCTCCAGACAGATGAATCCCAAGTGGTTCTCATCGAACAGGACGAAGACTCCAGGGAAGTGCCTGGGGTAGTCGAAGCCATCTAAGATACCAATGTCCACGCCATAGAAACACATCCTGCAGGTCCGGGGGTAGTTCTGGTCTCCTGAGCGCATGTCCACAGGCAGAACAAACGGAACAGGCTGCTCCTCTGAAGCTGCAACCCCGGACTCCCCGATGCTGGGCTGGGCAGGGCTCTGCCAGCCATGGCCCTCGCTTTCCTCAGTCCCGTTTTCTTGCTGCTGTGGCTTCTGCTGCTGCTCCCGGATCACCTGCTCCTCAATCTCCTAGACCACGCGGGAGAGCTCGTTGAAGTTGCGAAGATCTTGCCATCTCGCAGCTGGATGCGGTACATGAGGTGGATTTCTAACGTCCAGATTAAGTCTCCCATGACCTTCTTGAGCCTGGCATACTTCCCATGGAAGCTGAGCATGGCAATCATTAGGCCAAAGCCATCGTCTTTGCATTGGAAGAGGCCTGGCCTGATGAGGTCGTCCGGGTGGCTCGGCGGGAGGAAGAGGCGGCTGTAGGTTAGGCAGTCATACAGTTGTCTGTCCTCCTGCGACAGCACCAGCTCCGGTTCTCCCCTAAGCCGTGTTGGTGAATCCTTTCGGTGGTCTGTCTTGATCCACTGGATGCTGAGCCTGTCCTTCTGAATCTGCATGTGGCGGCTGTGGAAAATGCTGTAGATCTCTTCCAGGTACTCCACCGTGGCTGATTTCCTCTCTGTCAGGCGAATTCTAAACGAGGGCTCGAATTGCATTGGGCCATGCACATGGGTGTTAAGGGAAGGCCTGTACGTCCAACCAGTAATGCATAAGCCGTCCACCACTACATTCAGCAGTGTTCCATAGCTATAATCTAGCTGCCACAAACCCAAAATGTTTCTTTATGGGAACATCTTCGCATGACTTCTCGATAAGACATACTGATCATCTCCAGGTTCTGCAAGTTTTCACGAATGCCATACTCCTCCCAGCAGCGCCGTCTCCAGATGCTGTCGATGTGCAGGATGTGGTGGAATTTGGTGCAGGCCTGGGCCAGGCTGGCCAGGTCAGTGCCGGGGAGCAAGGTGAAGATCTCCACCAGCATCTCCACCTAGAGCAAGGAAGAAGGGGAAGTAAGGGTATATCCCCTATCTTTACTACTACTTTCCAGAAGTTGAACATGATACTTCCACTTTTAGTTCATTGGTCACAATTTTACCCCCTAGCCACACCTAGTTCCAAGGAAGGATGGAGAAAATAGACCTTGTTCTATAAAAGCATGCTAAAAATATTGAGTTTTTTGTTTGTTTGTTTGTTTGTTTTACTAAGAAGTGAAAAAATGGATACTAAGGAATAACTAGCAGATCCTACCACACTCAGTAATAGGGAAGCATAAATGCATGACATCTCAAGGTGAAAAGGTATTTTAAATTTTTCTAGTAAAGTGCTGCTCTACTTCTTAAGCATTTGTGCCCATTGGTTGTCCCCTTCCCCCCCTTCATAAAAAGAGGCCTGAAGCTACCCCACCTCATGTTTAGTCAATGTTTCTATCAGTTGAACTAACATTCACTTAACCCTATTTTAACCCATTAAAGCCATTCAGAATAATTCTCAAATCTAAGCCCTCCTGCCCTAATAATTCAGATATTTGAATCCCCACCCCCAGACTGTTTCCAATCACCCACTGTGCTTACAAATATACCTCTTCTATCATCCTCCCAGTGAGCTCACAGGACCCTTCAGGTGTCTTACCCAGGACTGGACATGAAGTCCTGGGAGTGGCCTTGCACAGTCAGGGGGGAATTACATCTCTCAGATTATAGGTGTCTACTTACATACTTCTAGAAGGGCTTCTCAGCTTGCTTTGGGATTTTTAACAATTGCTCCACACTTTTAACTCAGATAGTCTTTACCATCTACTAAAGCTACATATCCCCAATTCAATTTTTTTTTACAGTTTATTTTCTGGCTTTGACATAGAACCATAAAAGGCTTTCTATTTTACCTTCACCTATGTATAGGGCCTCTTGGCTTGAACTTACAAAAACCCTGAGTCTATCAATCAACAGATCATCTATCCCTCCCACCTCCATCGGCAATTTTGGCAATAACTCTCTCTGTACCTTCATTTATGCCACTGAGCAGATCATCCCACAGAGCAAGGCCAAGGCCAATGCAGTGTGCTACACCCTGAAATCCTCCCTCCAGGTGACATTGATCCATTAAGCAGCCCTTTCTGTGGCAACAGGGAAAACTGGTTTAGATGTGTGTTGCTGCCATAGCGACGTCTAAGCAGGCAGCTAAGAGCCCCAGGGGCTTGGCTGTTGGCAGCATCTGTTGCCGGAGCTTTCCTTCAACAGTGAGAAGACTTCCCAACCCCTCGGGAGCCAGGACCTGGCTGTTGGGAGAAAACCTTCGCTCTCACATTCACTCATTCATCGTTCGTTTGTAAAACATATTTTGAGGTTTTCCACGAGCCAGAATGCCACGTCCTATGAATAAAGGTCAACAAGACACATTGCCTGCTCTCAAGGAGTTCGTCTAACGGGGAGTAATGTCACAACCAGTTTGACCCTATTAAAACGCAAGTCAGGTCACTCCACTCCTCTGTTCAATACTCTGCAGTGGCTCCCAAGCCCCTCAGAGTAAAGGCCTGGGTCCTTCCCACGGCCCCCATAGCCCCACACGTCTACCCTCCCCGCATTTCCCCCCTAACATCCTCCTCCCTTCTTCATTCTCCCCCCTCCAGCCACCCTGGCCTCATTTTCAAACACACCAGATGGGTGTGTTCCTGCCATCCCATTGCTGTCTAAAATGCTCTTCCCCCAATATTGGCATGGCTCCCTGCCTCCCCTCCTTCAAGCCTTTACTAAAAATCACCTTCTCAGTGAGGCCTTCCCTAAAATGTCAACCGTCCCAGTATATTCCATATCCTCCTCCCTGGTTTACTTTTCCTCCTTAGCACATCCTGCTCTCTAATATTCTCTGTCCTACTTTGTAATCTTGTTTATTTTCTATTTTCCCCACTAGCACGTAAGAGAGCAGCAGGGAGCTTTGAATTTTTCTTTCTTTTTCTTTTCTTTTTTTCCCAACAGCTCTTAGATTAGTGGCTGACACATAGAATGGATGAAATGAATAGAACAATTTCAATACAACATGATACATCCCATCAAGTGAGAATTCTGGGATGCCATGCAAGCACATAGAAAAGGCTCCTAACCCAGTCTTGGAAGTGACGAGGCTCTCCTGGGAACTGGAGAATGAGTCACAGCAGGCCAGGTAAGGAGCCAAGAGAAGGTCCTTCCACGTGCTTGGATGTGGCACAGTGGCCAAAGGACTGGAGCCAGAGGAAGAACCTGCAAACCATAAGGTGTTTAGAATCGACTCAGTGGACACGGGGAGTCAGGGGGGCAAAAGGGAAAGTGCCAGTCAGACGTTTACTTTAGAAAAGCCAGGGTGTGGGCATGGAGGGGAGTCCGACTGGAGGTTGCAGTTGGTAGAACGGTTCAATAACCCATTGAAAGAGGACAAGGGCAGGAGCTAGCAAATGTTTTCTGTAAAGGGCCAGACAGTAAATATCAGAGCACATTTAACTCTGCCATTGCAGCCAGAACGTAGTCAGAGGGAGTATGCAAATGAAGGAACAGGGCTCTTTTCCCTTGAATGTGCTGAGACAATGCTTAAGAGGTAGAGCCCACATAACAGGCAAGGAATCCGCTTTGACAAAGGAAGAGGAGGGGGAAGGAGGACCCCAGTGGGCGCTAGGGCACCTGGGAACCTGAAGCAACCAGCGCCCACACCCCAGAGTGGTTGGAGGCTGACCTAGGAGAATATGTGTCCATGTGTTTCCAGTTTGAAACATCCCAGAAATCAGTGCAAAGCTGTGCACTGGTCTATGGAAGAGCAGCTGAAACTGTGAGAGAGAAAGGGTCTCCTTGAATGGATCTGGGGCCTGCCTTGAGTGTAGGGATTGGTGTCCTTGATGCCCTAGAGAAACTGAGAGGCACTCTTTGACCTTTCTCTCCCTCCCAGCCTCCCCACCCCCATGCAGGCTCCTCCCCCACCTCCTTTGCCAGGTTCCCCCAGCGATTCCCAGTCTTCCCTTTCCCCTGAATCCTCTGGAAGACAGATGATGCTGGGAGAAGGTGGCTCAGAGAGCCTCACTGAGGATCAGAAAATAACAGGGTACCTGCATTTTCGGGGGAGGCGGAGGCAGTTGCCAGAGAACAGGCTGACCCTGGAGGTGCGCTGTGTAAGAGGGAGAAATAGGGCACAGAGATCTCAGGTCTTCCGGGAGGTGAAGAGATGCCAAATTCTCTAACAGCTGTGCATACGACAAAAGGGTGAAAAATAATAAAGTACAGTAAGACAAGATGCCAAGTGAGCGAGCCAGTGGGCTCCGTGGCTGGCTCATCCCACAGCCGCGGGCTCCCTGCCCAGGCAGGCGGACGGGGCAGGAGGGTCTGCTCCCTGAGCACATTCCCAGCAGTGGCTCCTTTTCAACAGTTTTAAAGGTCATATGCTGACATGACAGTTGCTGGAACTGTGGTGAAAACGCTCGCAGGAAGCATTGTGCAAGCGACTCTAGAGACCCACAGTCCCCACAGACCGAGCGGCCTTCACGTGGGCCTTCCCCCCCTTGCCAAGCTCGCTGTCAGCCCACCTGCGGGGCTCCCCACGCCGCCCTCAGGTGGGAGCCTCGGCAGAGATGCCTCCGGTGCTCTGTGAGGCCCCTGGACCCTGAGGCCGGCAGCCACCGCCCGGGAACTTCTCGGAGCAGGTACCAGGACAGTGTGCACAGGCTCCTGACTTCTGTCCCACAGTCAGCCTGGGATTGCGCGAGCGAGCCCGGCCCCAGCTGACTTTCCACTGCTGGCGAAGCCGGGGAGAGCCCACAGCTCCCTGCAACAGTGTTTGAACATAAATGTGCACCACAGATTTTAAAACACGCCAATGGAGGGTAAAACCAGACTCTCTGCTTGTCTTGGATCCATCTTGTGCTGTACAGGGTTCAAAAGGAGCCCAGATTCTGACCCAACAGGCCATTTTTCTGACTGAACAGACCATTTGCCTGAGCCCCATCTTCAGGACAACCCCACCCCCAGGCCCTCTCACCCTCTGAGCCTCTGCCCACCCTCCCACCAGTCCCCAGGCTTCCTCCTCCATCTCAGGGCTGCCCAGGGGGCAGGCACAGAGCTCCTTTATGGACACACAAGCTCCAGTCCTGACAGCCAGAGGCCACCTGTTTCCTCTGCCCTGTCCTACCCTCGGCATCTGTGAGCCTCCCGGAAAGGCTGGGAGCAGATCTAGGCAGGCGGGTCTCCTTCCAGCATCTCAGGAAATGTTAGAACTTACATATCCTGCCCTGGACACACACACACACACACACACACACACACACACACACACACACACACCCTCTTCTAGTTCTAACCACAGGCCCCTCTCTGACTACGTTGGGAGGGGTTGGTCAAAGCCCAGATGCATTTCCCCCGGGAACTCTTTTTGCAGTCCTGCCTCCGTGCCACACAACGCCCAGGGCTGTGCACAGCTTAGCACGCAGTGTCTTGGAGGTGGCAGTGCCCTAGCCTGGGGTTTTGTTTGTTTTGCTTGTTCAAACTCTTCGCGCTTCCCATTGGCTGTCAGTAACTCACAAGAGCTCGGGTAACAGGAAGGGAACTGTGCCTGGATGCTGAACCCTGGTGGCTGACACCACCTTCCCCTCCTCCATCCCATGATATCGGTCCCATTCCTGCGGAAGAAGCTTCCAGAACAGGCAAGTATTCCTGGTGTTGACCATAGTTGTGGCCTCTGAAAGGCTGCAGCAGCATCTGAATGTCGGGACTTGCACTGGGCGACAGTCTCAGGGTCACCAGGCGCAGCGGAACTCCAGGGCAACCTCGGCGCACTCTCCAGCTCCTCAGGCCCCGGCCCTGCCAGGCTGAGACCCTGCAGACCTAGACCGGGCAGGCCCACCTGCGGCCTCCTTCCGCAGGCGCCCTCCTGCTATGAGCTGAGTAGGGTAGGAGGGCAAAGTGGGTGCAGCCAGAACAGGCTCTGTCTGAAGATGTGCAGGGCAAGATGTCAGACCTGGGCTTCCCTGGGCTTCCAATGGGGCAGATGCTTCACAGCCAGTCGCTCATGTCCAGATGCAGTTTGAGGCAAACAGACCTGATACCTCTGAGGCTTAATAGTCGAACCTCAACCCCACATAGGATCCTAAACAAGCCTCATCCACAAAGCCAGACCACCTCTGCTGAATCAGTTGTGTGACCACGTGCACATCATTAACCTCTCTGCCTCCATTTCAGAACAGTCAAGCAGCCGATGCAAGCCCTCACCTGGACGTTTGCTGCAGGCACATAGGACAGCGGCCACTGCACGAGAGACGCTGGTCAGCATCAGTCCTAGATATGAGGACTCCTTTGGCCCTAAAGGAGCAAAGACCTCACACACCCAGGTCCAGCACCTTCCTTCCTGTCCTCCTTGGAAGAGGACACACCTTTGCAAAAAAAAAAAAAAGTGAAAAAAACTCAAGACTTTTTCTTCTTTTCCAATTAGAACCACTATCACTCAGTTAGGGCTAAAAAAGGTGGTGTCAGTGGCTGGGAGATGAGGGACCTGGGAATTAATGGGGGTTTTTGTTTGTTTGTTTTTAATTTCATTATTTATTTATTTTAAATTTATATATAATTGACATATAACATAATATTAGTTTCAGCTGTACAAGAAAACTTTTTTTAATTTTTATCAAATTTATTGGGGAGATATTGGTTAATAAAATTAAATGTGTTTTAGGTGTACAATCCTAGAATGCATCATCTGTATATTGTATTGTATGTTCACCACCCAAAGTCAAGTCTCCTCCCATCATCATTAATCCCGTCTTTACCCTCTGTCACCTCCCCATCCCCCTTTCCCTCTGGCATCGCCATATTGGTGTCTATGTCTATGAGTTTTCTGGGTTGTTGTTTTTTGCTTAATCACTTCACTTTTTACACCCAGC